ATCATTACACCACATTACGGCGTTTCCATGGTAATTGGAACTTTTTCTTCCTTCCAGTCTTAGGTTCAACAGAACCACCATCGTCGGGACCAAAACGGTTTTTATGATATCTAAATTGGAATAATGAACCAACGATGAAGAGAGCAATCATTCCACCAAGCATAAGGTAAACTTTTGTATTTGTCTTGTAAGGAATGTCATGATTTCCATCCGTGAATGCTCTAACAGACTGAGCGAAACCCGTCCTTACGAATATATCAATACCCAAAATTATAGCATAAGCTCCAATAAACGACGTTCCTAAGATGATAAGTGCATTCTTGAAGCAGCAAGCTAACATCAGACCGATTACTGTCAATGCCACTATAAAGATAATTCTAGCGACTTTCTGGTGAATGACCCCATCAGATGACCATGCTAAAATGAATAATGCAAAGGTATATCCGACAAGTGCTCCTAAAAACCAAATTGCCACCGTTGTTAAACACATGAAAATTAGACCAACGACGAATCCAACCGCGAGTGATACTAATAGGATAATCGTAGCACTAAGGTTGTCTGCGCCCGCGTATCCTCCATCAGGTTCTCCGTTGGTAAGACCAACCCATGTGATTATGGCTATATAAACCGAATTAAAATTTACGTTAAAAAAAAAGGAAATTTTTTATTTATTTTTTTTTTTTTTGTTTGATAGTTCTCAGAACACTTACTGCCGATGTAAAATCCGATCATGAACAGTGTAAGTCGATAAATTCTTCTACCGAAAAAGCAGAAAATTATTCCGGTAATGATCAAAAGTATACCCGCAATGATTAACTGTGGCGTAAGATTTCCATTTGAATCGGATATTCCTAAGGTAGGATCTTTTGCTTGAGCATTGATGTTTAATGGAAATAATATTCCGACCAAACATATTAAACTTAACAAGAAGTTCGACATTTTTGTATTTCGTGTTTTTTTTTTGTAAAAAATTTTTTCTTAACGTAAAATGAGAGAATCGTCCCATTATTTATATTCCCAAAAAACGGCGATTATCAACAAGAAAAAAAAAATTTACCCAACTACAATAAAAATGGGCGCTTGATCTTATCCTTGGCGTTTAAATTTTCGAAAATTCTTCCAACCTAGTTTAATTATAACAACAAATCAACTTCAATTTACGTCATCTGTTATAATAAGACTATACCAAATCTGGTGCTTTTTCAAAAATCATTATCAGACTATTCTCGGGTAATCATTTTAATCATCACTTGGCATTACAAGTTTAGAAATCATTTATTGAATGTAAATATGAG